AGGAGATTTAAATTTTTATAATATAAAGTAATTAATTTTTTAATATATTTTAAAAAATAGTATTTATTACGTTAAAATTTAAATGTATATGAAATTATTCAAGTCAAAATTTCCTCATTAATCTAACAATTCTTTGGACAAACATTTAGATAGTGTTCAAAAGCTGAAGTGTTTAATTAGAAAATTTATGAAGATTTTTGTTACTTTTTGAGATAAATAATTTAATGAAAGAATTTTCATATCTCAGGAATCAGAAAAATACTGAAATATTCTGAGCTTAATTAACCTGTAATTGCCCTTGAAATGCCTTCTTTTGCTATAAAGAAAGCGTTGATGAGTTTTTGCTTCATGGTAACTGCACCCTTTTTTGTTTCATGGATTCCATTGAAGTCTTCTTGTGTTTGTCTTTGCACTTCATGTACGACAACTAAAGACCTTGGTTCTGACTTCCCCAGGTTATTGATCTCATCATCCTGCTGCGTGTGCACCAAATAATGCCAAAAGAAAATCAGACCAAAACTTATATCTTTTTGCGTTATATTCTAACAAAACTATATCCATGAACGTGAATCTCACCTTGCCTAGAAAATTGACTTCATTTTCAGTACTCTGGTTGGTAACGAAGACTGGACGACGAGCATTACATGCATGCACCAAAAAGCAAAGGAGAAAGATGTGGAGACAGAGAGAAGACGACATGGTGAGAAGCAGTGTTCAAAAGGGAGAACAAGGTATGAGAATGTGCTAGTTTTGAGTGTTAATTAACCTTGTGTGAAAGTATTTGTAGTGGTAGAAGCAAGAGAGGGCATTAAATGCAGGTTTTGTAAGAGATGATAAACGTTCTTAAAGAGAACATGCAAGTGTTTGGGGCAGAGAACTCTGAGAACGAAATTGGAGATATTAAGGGCCCTCCCTTGTCCCTTATATCAAATCAAGGGGGAGGGGTCCCCAAACGTATCCAAGAATCCATTATAGAGCTATTCGTAGTGAAGATGTGCAAGCTCCTGCCAAATATCTTTACACTGTTCACAAATCACAAAAATTCATCTTCTTCCCCATATATAACCCTTTGGAATTGAAGAGTAATCAGAAATTCAGAGAACAAAATTTGCATTATTAAGATTTGGGATACGAAATAGAGAAGGGAAACAATAGCCTATCAAGGAGTTAAAAAAAAAAAAAAAGGAAAGAAGAAGAAGAAGTAGAGAGAGAAAAGGGAAACAAGAGTGATCAACTACTCAACCAGGATAAATAATTCATCGTTTTGTTGATTAAAATTAAAGGATTCTTCGTGAATACCCAAATTTCAACACAGATAATTTAATTCTTTGACCAACTGAAGCGGTAAACTTGGACCACAGACCAAAAGAAATAATAATAATGGAGCACTGTTAAACCTAGGACCTACCCATGTGTATGAGCTAAGGCAGGTCACTCTTTGCCCTTGTGCTATAAATTACTAATGTATGGCCATGGCCTGTGTGAATACGTGCTCCTTTCTTTGACCATATGGTTTACACTTTCTCCATTCACACATTTTGTAAAAAAAATATGAATATGATATGAAAATTTATATGAAATTAATTATCCAATTAATTAAATTAAATTAAATATTTATATTGTTTACACAAATTAGTTGAAAAAGACATTGTAGAAAAACCCTAACTTAAAATAGAAAACGGAAAAAAGTATACTTATCAAGGGAAAGAAAGTGCTGCTAGAGAGAGAGATGGAGAAGAGGGAGGAGACCACTTTATTACTACCTTTTTTATGATGCACGCATCCATGGCAGAGCAGAGGAGAGGGAAGTACACAGGACTACTATGACACCAGAGTACAAGAAAGGGTAGACAAGGGAACCACAAAAAAACCAACCCCAAAAGTGTATCACAATTCACAACACCAACAATAATAAGTGAACTAACCTATATCAGATCAAAGGGCAAACCAGGATCAAGGATGAATTGAAAGAGCAGCAACTGCATAAAGAGATATGAAGCTATTGTGGAGTTTCTGCTAGATTGAGTCAAAATGAGATATGAAGCTCAGGAGACAGAATCAAGCCAAGAACAAGGAAAGGGAGCATTTTCTCTTTTTTAATTTTTCTGAAATGGGTCTCTTTTCTTTTGGGGTTGGGAGATTGATTCAGGACATGCAGGCAGAGTGCTATGGTGGGGCTGCAATATTGAGCAAAGAAATTCTCTCTTCCTTCAAATCTCGCACTTGTTTCTGATCTTCCAAAAAGGCTTCAACTTTGTCTTCGTTAGGCATATATGCACAAATGCTATTACAGTTGCCGGTTGAGGGGGCGCTAGAAATTGCAGGTTTTCCTTCGATTTGTGAACAAGTGAAGTGGGTAAATCAACAAGAAGCTAATAGCTTTGCTTGCCAAGAACCGACCTCTGTTCTTCATATGAGAAGAAGCCCGAGCCCACCCACATCGGCGTCTACTCTTTCTTCCTCTTTCAACGGCGGAGCCCTAGCCGACACCACCACCAGCACAGAGGCCACACTACCACCCGAGAACAACGCCATCGAAAGGAAAGAACAATGGGCATCGGAGCTACAGCCAATCGGCCCAATCCCGAGTGGGCTGGAGCTTGTTGCTGGGATTTATAGTGGTCAGAGATGCAATAATGGAATAGAAGACTGGGAGACCATGTTGTCTGAATCTGCCGTGTTTCCAACCCAAGACCACTCGCTTCTGCGGTGGATCGCCGTCGCCGGCGACGTGGACGACCCTCCGTTTGTGCTGAAACAGCTGCTGCAGAGTGGGAATAGTGGAGTTACTCAGGGCCTTGATTTTGAGGGCAATGCTGGATTAGGGATTGTTGATCAGGCTCCGGGATTTGACGCAGGGCCGCTTGGTGGTAACTCTGTTATGGGTGCTGCTGGAAATGTGATTACCGGCATGGGTGCTAATTTGGGTGGTTTTCATGGTTCCGGGGCTGTGCCCAATAGCGATAATGACAATGGGAAGACTGGCGCGGTTATGCCCAGTTCTTCTGCCGCCATGGGTAACAATCAGAAGATTCAAAATCCAATCTTTACTTCTCCGGCTAACAATCTTGCGCTTCCGGTTTGTTTGCCTGTGCTTTACAATCTGCAATCTCAATTTGCAAATACCCTTGAGGAGAAACCCCAGATTTTGAATCCTCAGGTTTTGATGAGCCAGCAGCAACATCATGGTTCTAATTTTCTCATGCCATTACCTCAAGAGCAGCCTCTGCCGAAGCGCCACAATTCCGGAAGCTTAGACCTTTCTTCTCAGATGCCAAAACTCCCCTTCTCAGATCCGGGGCATGAGTTGTTGCTCAGGAAACAGCAGCAGCCCATGGGATTTCCTCAAGGAGTCCAGTTTCTTCCTCAACAAAAGCCGATGATGGTGATGAAGCAGAAACTGTTGAATCCGGGTGAGGAAGAATTGGCTCAACAACAGCAGCAGCAACACCATTTCCAGTTACACCAGCAACAACAACAACAACAACAACAACAACAGGCATTGCTCGAGCAGCTCTATAGGGCAGCAGAGCTGGTAGGAACTGGGAATTTCTCACTCGCGCAAGGGATATTGGCGCGGCTCAATCAGCAGTTGTCTCCTGTAGGTAAGCCCCTTCACAGGGCTGCTTTCTATTTCAAGGAGGCTTTGCAATTACTTCTCCTTATGAATAACCCAGTTTCCTCCCCACCTCCGAGGAACCCCACCCCTTGTGATGTCATCTTCAAGATGGGCGCTTACAAGGTCTTTTCTGAGGTCTCTCCTGTTATCCAATTTGTCAATTTTACCTGCAACCAGGCCCTTCTTGAAGCTCTTGACTATGCTACTTGTATTCACATCGTTGACTTTGATATTGGATATGGTGCTCAATGGGCGTCCTTTATGCAAGAGCTTCCTATGAGGAGTAGAGGTGCTCCTTCATTAAGAATCACTGCCTTTGCCTTCCCTTCAACACACCATCCTGTTGAGCTTGGGCTTATGCGTGAAAATCTTACCCATTTTGCTACCGAAATTGGTCTAAGTTTTGAGCTTGAGGTGATTAACTTTGATTCTTTGGACCAAACATTGTACTCTTTGCCTCTTTTGCGGTCTAATGACAGTGAAGCAGTTGCAGTGAACTTTCCTCTCTGGTCTTCTTCAAATTTGCCTTCTATTGTGCCCTCTCTACTCCGAATTGTGAAGCAGCTTTCACCACAAATTGTGGTGTCTTTGGATACAGGGCTTGACAGAAATGATCTCCCATTCCCACAGCATCTAGTTCATGCCTTACGGTCATACGCAAACTTGCTAGAATCACTTGAGACTGTTAATGTGACTTCTGATGCTGTGAGCAAGATTGAGCAGTTCCTTCTTCAGCCAAGGATTGAAAGCATTGTATTGGGCCGTCTGCGTTCCCCAGATAAAATGCCACATTCGAAGACACTGTTTGCCTCAGCTGGGTTCTCTCCTGTAACATTTAGTAATTTCACTGAAACTCAGGCAGATTGTCTGGTAAAGAGGACTCAAGCTAGAGGATTCCATGTTGAGAAGCGCCAGGCTTCACTTGTGCTCTGCTGGCAGCACCAGGAGCTTGTCTCAGCTTCAGCTTGGAGGTGCTGAGGGGCAACAATTGGACAGGTAGAGGAGGTTCATGTTTAAGAAACTCACGAACTGTCAAAGTTCACTCCAATATTAAGTAAGTATTGAATAATTTTGCCTTAATGACTTAATGCTTGTGAATTCTTATTGTCTTGCTTGTGAATCTCCTCTGCTTGTTGTCTTATGTAGTCTAGGACAGCCTATATTTTCAGTACAAGAACAAAACATTTAACTGGAATGTCTAGTGGATGCTTAATTGTTTCAGACATGGATATTGCTTTAATCATATTCTAGTAGTTTTCTTTCTATATTATGAGAAGAGTTGCATTTTCTTCTGGTTAAGGTGGTGATATTTGTTGTGCCCTGACAACAAACTAGAGCTAGAAATGGAAGTATGTCTTACCAGACTCTTGTTTTCTGTACTACGGAAAATTCCCATGTGTCTGCCTTTGATATTTGAATCTTAATTCCTAGTTTCCTACTTTATTTTGAATTTTGATTGTGCCATATTTTATTTTTTGCCTGTTAATACATTTAAATGACCAGATTATATAACTGGCATACTTGACCTGACCATAAAAAGCAAAAATGTGAACGATCTAGTTTATGGTGAGAAATTCATAATAGTGATGAGTTGATGCTGTTGAAATTTAAGAGGTTGCAAGAATGAAAGTGCTAGTAAACAGGGAATTAGCAGAAAATAATGGTCCAAGGAGGAAACAATTTACTGTCAAATGCCATGAGAATCTGGCACGCTTTATGAGTGCTTAGATGTTTGTGGAATGGAACAATTTCATGTGGGAATTTAGGAATTACTCAGATGTCATTCCATCTTTTCATTGTTTGACCATGAACAAGCTACTTCTTTGAGCCTTTTACAGGTTCTGGATTAGATTAGTGCAAGAGGCAAGTTATCTATCAAATTTCTTTTGTTCTAGTGGCAATTCCCCATGCACACTCTCTGGTTCATGTTTTGGAACCCTTCTTAGTTAGGTTGATTTAGTGAATTATGATTTGATTCTTCAAGAATGGGTAGTTAAAGCTGCTTCTGATTGTTTAGTTCAGAGAACAGCAACCCCAGGCCAGGATGTATGTACCTAAGGAGGCAGTTAACAGATAACAGGCATGAAATGCGTGAAAAATTCATTGATTTCACCATTTCAGTTCACTTCTTCATGAAGTCAGTTGAGAAATGAGAATGCCTATATCCCTTGTTTCCATTTCCATTCCCACCCAAAGCTTTCCCAGAAAAACAACATTAGTAAATAGTAGTAAGTAAAGACAACCACCTTTGCTTTGCCATAAGTGACTTGTGAAAAACAAGTGTAAGAACATGCTGCAACCTTCAAAGACAATGCATGCCTGCATGTGTCTACAAAAGACACCTAAGAATGAATGACAACATTAACAATCATAACATGGTTTTATTGAACTCATTCTGTTGCCGGCTTTATCTGAGAAAATAGTTTTCTTTTATACTTTGCTTGCTTTAATATTATATGTATATACACATCAACAAATTAACAAACACGTTAACATGTCATTCTCCTTTCTCGAAATTGTTTGATTAAATATATACTCCAAATCAAAGATTAAACTACAAATGCTTGTCTTGTAGTAAACTGTGTTTGCTATTTTATTTATTTTCCTTGATTAGTTGTTGGATACATAGTAATCAGGCCACATGGGTCATGTTTAATTCATCACTTTCCTTTGATTAATTTATCTACTCTTATTTACATTAAAAAAAAAAAATTTGTACTGCAATGTTTCCCCCTACTTTTCTTTTAATACAATCCCTTTTTTAATGTATTAAAAAAAATGAATTGAAATATTACATGGAAGTTAGGTTTTCCCATGGCATCGGATGAACTTCTAAAGAGAAGAAATTTTCAGTCCGGCCTGACAAGAAAAATCTCAAAAAAATTTCAAGAAAATCTAACTAGGGCTAAGGATTCAAGGGTTAACCAAATTCTTTGGCTTTCCTTTTAGGGTTGTATTAAATTTATCTTTGAGATACTAATTTATATAATTTTTTTAAAGACTAATATTAAGTTTACAAAATAGCTACTTATTATTATTATTTTTTTCTAATGATAAAAAGTTAAATATATCTGTAACGTATGTAACATGTTAAATAATTCCTTCATTTTAAGTATATATTAAGAACGCAAACGTCTGTTTTATTCATATTTGTAACGAAGTCCCATAAAAATTCTTGAAAATAACATCATTCATAGAGATAAGATAGGGTAGTGATATTGAAACAATTTTTTTATATAATTTTTATATATCATTAAATGAATAAATATATTTAATATTACGAATTTTAAATAAATACATAAATAAATTATTTAAATAACAAAACCTTGTGTTACAGACTGTTTGTAACATTAGGACCTTTAACAGGGAGAAGGGAGGGTCCAACATCAGGGGATCCTCTTCCTTTTAATCGTTGTGATGTTACAATCTATCCTATAACAGACTGTAACACAATTTTTCGTTTAAATAATATGTAAAATTATTAAAAAAAATTATTTCAAAATCCTGTTCTTATGATATAAAACAAAACCAATAATTTAGTCAAGTAGTACTAACTATTAGCTGCGCTTCATTCGTATAATAAGAGATCCGTGTTGGATTTTTGTAATTCTACTTTGCATAGAGAGAACGCCTAACTTACCAACTGCTGTCTCATCCAATTGAAGTTCTTTCAACGTGAGGATTGAAGCATTTATTTATCCTTAAAAATTAGATTTAATCGAAAAAAAACTGAATAACAAGTCAATTATTACTTCTGTTAATAATAACTTGGCCCAATCCCGCGACGCAACCTGCCGTGCGGCCTAGTTAGCCCAAAGTCACATTTAGCATGGTCCCGGTGCACAAGTAGTCTAGCCCACTTCATAGCATGGCTCTCTAGGTTTAAATAAGGTAATAATTAAAATTTTTTTGTATAATTTTTTTATATAATTTTTTTATATCATTAAATGATTAAATATATTTAAAAAATAATATTTATTCGTTTTATCTCTTAAAAATTAAGAAGAATATTATTTTAAAATTACGTCATTTTAATAAATATCTATTGAAAAAAGTTAAAATATTATATTTTTAACGCATGAATTAATGTATTTTTTTTATCATTTTTTCTCTTAATTTTTTAGAAATAAGGTAGACAAGCACTAATCTCATATATTTAATATCATAAATTTAAAATAATTAATTATTTAAATAAAACATAAAGTTATATAAAAAGTAATAAAAATATTATTCTTAAATCATTTTTTAATAATTAATGTCTTTAGTCTTTATAGCAAAGAAAGAAAACGACGATGCCTCATCTTTGGTTTATTTTCTTCTATATGCTCTTATTTATTTTTTTCGGAATAAATGATAGATAAGACGAATTTATTATAGCCATTGATGGTGGTGTGAATATTATATGAATCTATATTGAAATATTTTCGTCTTAAATTTTAGTTATAAGAATCATTACTTCTACTTTCTAGGCTATATTGAATTATTTATACCTATATGGTGGTTTTAAAAAATTCCTCAAGCTTTTAGACTTTCATAACTAAGTTACATCAATTGATATTATATGCTTTTGTTGACTCATTCAGCATTCTTATTTTGATCCAAGGCTGGGAGGTAGTCTTAAGTTTAGATAAGTAGACAACACGACTAAAATTACTGTCACCGTTAATTTGTTAAAACTATTAATTTAATTATAATTTTATTAATTTATAGTCTTGTTTTAAACCGTTAGTTCTAATATTTAAAAATATATATTTATAAATTATTTTCAATCTGTTAAATAATAAATATTAATTATTTTATCAACTAATTTTAACAGTTAAATTAAAATAAAAACTTAATAATTTTTAGTGATTTTAACAAATTTAATGGTAACCATAAGCATAATCATAAGCATAACCATAACACGTTCATTACTATTTAAATGCAGAGCTTGGATGAAAGGAACACCAGAAGCAGCAAAATTTACCCGGGAATGCAGTATAAACTTACTTTGTCAAGGATAATACAGTTTTCTCAGCATATATATATATATATGCAAATCAGTGTTGTATGTCCATATTATTATCCTTGGGTGATGTTAACCTAGAATAGTAGGAGAAAAGGGAGACAAACTTTGGATTGATTTTGGATTACATGGAAGCAGTACAGACTCCCATTATACTATTTATCTCTACATTTTGCAATGAAGTTAAGATATCAGTCAAAAAAATGTATAATATACAAGACCTTGATTAGTAATCTTTACAATGTGAAAATATGTATCTTCCCATATTATCCCATCTACTACTGAATGAGAGCGCTACAACCGACTTTGTCACACATCATATATGAACACAATGAAATAAAATGTTTGTCAATCACATGATGAATCTATTTTTTCAGTTCCATGCCTGTTGTCCTCAATGGTCAGGTATACTTCGCTAGCACTAGAAGTGGAACAAACTGTTTCACTTTCGGAGGAAGGGAAATTGTGCAGTAGTGATGGATTCTCCAGCTTGTAGGATACCCGCCATTCATCAATGTCTGCCATTTGATCAGGATCCAGAGTGGGAAGTGTCTTCTGCTCTAGAAGTTTGATAATCTTCTCAGTTTGTCCTAGAAGGTGAACTGCCTGTCGAACACAATCCTCCCTTTCTTCAATGGTGCTGCTCAAACACTTGACTAATATGGCACGTTGTAAGTTGGTGAGGCAAGCACTAAGAATATCAGAGATCATGGCAGTTAGTGTTTCGAATAATCTTTCACCAGTCTCATATTTTCTGCTTTCACAATTTTGCAAAATGGTTTGGCTGATTCTATACATAGAATTAGCAGCCAATGCCTTGATGGGCCATTTTGAAGCATCCACTAGACACAGATTCATTCTGATACTAACTTTTTTAAATTCCATGAGCTTGTTCTTTGCAGAATCAGAAAGCACTTCCAGTATTTCCCTAGGGGCTTTTCCTTCAAGGGACAGCTTATGAAGATCCACATCTAACCACCTTTGACACAGTTCAACACCCAGCCATACAACCTCTGCAGCCGATCTGATGTTTGTCAAATCCTTCTTACAGTTCAGGGTGTTCTCTATGTGTCTGACATATGTAAGACCTTCATTTACACCATATATCAGCATTTTTAGTGAATAACCATCAATAGATGGGAGTGCAACCGCAATGCTTGCCAGTGTCACCACAGGAAGAGCCCAACAGTTTGGAGGCAGTTCGGCGTCAAGACATGGTACTTGGTTACTATCAAACTCCTTCACCCCTTCAAAATATTTAGAAGCTCTTGGTATTTCTAACAGCTTTTTTAGGTACCTTGGTTGCTTCCTTTGTGCTCTGTGCATCCAATACTCAGTAGCATCGCGGTTATTTTTCATCATTATCTTAACCAACACATCCTCACCTTCAAGATGCAGAACAAAACGACTAAGATCAGACTTTGTGCTAGACTGTGACTCTGATCCAGGATCATTAGTAGTGCTGTGTTTGCCCTTGGACTTCAGCTTACTACAGAAGTCCAAGCATAACCAAATCCGAGCCACAAAAGAAATGGAAATCATCCTGATCACTTTGCTGATGAACACAATTCCTATCTGTACTGCAATACACAAGTTGAGACAAAGTTTCTTGGCATCATGGACAAGTTTCCTGCAATACCGATTACGAAATGGTATGCCTAACGGGCACTCTTTCATCTCCACTAGTGTTTTAATCCAGTATCCTTCTAATTGAAACTCTTGTCTGCAACTTTCCCTCCCTCTTTTCGCGCACCTGAACTTGATTGCAGTAAACCATCTAGTTGCTGGAGCAATAGTACCCACTGCCACTGCAATAGTCTGTGTAACTAGAATTAAAGCAATCGACCACTTATAATCTGATTCCCCTTTGCAGAACTCAAATGACTGGGGCAGCAAGTAAGATCGAAGCATGGTTTCTGCTAGAGTTGCAGCACTCAGGAGACACAACGCACCTGTAGCTGTACATGTTACAGATCGACCCATCACAAACTGGGGGCTAGAGGTATGAGCCATCATCCAAAATCTCATGAGATCTTCTTTGAGTTTCTTAACCCCTGCAGTACTCTTCTCTGTTCCATAAGAGCATTCTTTCATAACCAACTCATACTTTTTCTTGTACTTTTGTTCTAAATAACGCTTGTTAGTTGGAACAGTCAAAGATGAAAAACTGAAGATTACGAGCAAAACAATCATTAGAAACAGGACAAAGGCATGCTCTTTCCAGAAAACAAATATAACACCAGTACCTATCTGGATGCAGATGTTCACAAAAAGAGTAACAACAAGGATTCCTAAAGCAACAACATTTGATAAGATTTCTGTGTTCTCCATAGTTCCTAAAGAAGGCATAGAATTACCCATTACTGTGCAGATCAAGACAGTGCTGCTGAGTTTTGCAAGCTGATCCATGTGGCGTGGCATGGGCGTGTTTAGATCCACAGACAGTTTGCTGGCAACTCCTATTACGGTAAGGGAAGTGGCGTTGATGGAGAAAAATTTGCAAGGAAACCAGAATTTGCGGTGGCGGAAGCCACAGATAGCATCTGATGCCATGGCAACTGCACAGGCCAGAGATGCTGCTGCTATGTAGATGCCAATCCATGGCATCGGCTCACTGAACTTGGTTTCATTCAGGTTCCCATCGATGCTGCAGCCAAGCTTACCCATTTTTTTTTTATTTCTCTCCTCTAACCTCTACCCTTTGCTACTGAAGTTTTTGTAGGACCAAAAAATTTAGAAGTTGCTACCCCAGAGTTTAGACCCTGCAATTTGCTTTGTCTTTCTGTTCAATATCATCATACTGGGGACAAAATTACTATTTGATACAAGCACACGTTGACTTTTGAATGAATAACAAACGACTAGCGGCCTAGGCTAGGCTTAGAGTTGTGAAGGGTACAA